GGGGGGAGGGGAAGTGTAGCAGCCGTAAAGGGGGAGGGGGGAGTTGACACACATAGCAGTCATAGAGTTAGTGACTTAAGTTAGTGCATGTAGTGGTCACAAATTGGGAGGAGGTTGGCACACATAATGGCAGGGGAGGGGTTAGCGCATGTAGCGGCCACAGAGCCGGGGTGGGGTGTGTGGCGGTGGTTGGCATGCATAACAAGCAGGGGGCACAGCCCTCTAGTTATCCTGTGAGTCCATTTTGCATAGCTCAGTATCTGGAGCTGCTTTTCTCACATTGAACGTTTTAGTTCATTGTAGCAAACTCACTCAAGTGTTGTTTAATGCTTAAAATTTAGTGGTGGAAATGTCTTTTTCATCAGCCCCTACCTGAAGTTCCAGTAATAGAGCAAAGCAGTAAAAAGCTTCTTTGCTGCTTTTCTGCTACTTTATTAAAGACCTTGAAAGGAAGATAAGAAGTTCTTACTGAAATTGTACAAATCTCAGCTGCTTCAGGTACATACAATTTGGAGCAGGCAATCCTGTCTCCATACTAGAATTTGATGGACCTATATCTCTAGAAATAAATGGATGGTTTAGAATTGTCCTGGATGAATAGCTGATGTTTATAATGAATCCATAAGGACCTCCGTCTTTTCTTCAAAAGAAGATGAAAATACCACAAGCTGAAAAATCTGACTGCAAACTGGTGAAATTTGAAAGCAGGATTAATTGAAGTGTAGATTTTTTAAAATCAGAACAGCTACCACGTGACTGAAAAATAAACATGGGGCCTCCAAATTGTACAATCTAGTAATTGTCAATAGAGGTTTTGGCTGTGGTAGGTTTAAAACTGGCAGGTTGTATACTACATTCTGGGCAATTTTTATGAAGCCATGCTTATCCTAAAACAAAATACAGGACTATGTAGCACTTTAAAGACTAACAAGCTACATAGTCCTGTATTTTGTTTCAGCTACACCAGACTAACACGGCTACATTTCTATCACTATGCTTATCCTAGTTATCCCACATCTTCCTATAAGTTTGCCCTGAAGTGAGAGAAGTTGTGATAAGATGAGAGCCAGAAGCCTGTGTACTGAGATCAAAGCAAACAGTTGTCACAAACAAGCTTAGGTACAGGAATGCAACATATATACGATGCAGAGTATTTTGTACTAGAAGTATTGGCTTACAGAAAGTTTCTTTTCTCTTTGGCATTTCAGAGCGCCAACTATTTCTAAAATATTTATGGTTATTTACTAAAAAGGTAATCTGCAGAAGGGATCTGTATAAATATGGGCTTGTGTTCTATGATAGGAGTCAGAATCGTGGAGAAGATGGTGCTTGACCATGATGTAGTTATTTTTATTACTGTAGTGCGTAGGAGCCCTAGTTAAATACACTGACAGTTTACAGAGTTTCCCAACTTTTAATCTATTTTTCTGTAGTATTTATCTGTGTAGTCTCTAGTTATTGAGTGCAATGTAGATCACTGTTTCTGACCAAATCAATGGATACAATTCTTCAAATTCCTTTTCATTTCCTCAGAATGAGGGCATCTGTCTTATTCTCCTGGGTTCCATAGCCCTGAATTTTCCACTTCAGTTTGTGCTCAGGGTGGACACTGAGGCAGGATAATCTATCTTGTGGGTTCTCAGCTTCTATTAAAGTGGAGGCCACATGTCTGGTATTATTGTCCTGCAGTCTTATAATTGCCCATATTTGAAAGGGTGTGGACAGTCTCTTTGTTGTATTTAAGGAAGAGGTGGAGGAAACAGTGAAATTACATATATGTTTTTAATACATATTGCTTGTGTGGTGTCTGATGCCTTTTCCAAATCCATCTGCTATCCTAGGGATATAGGATACTTACCATATAATCTCACTTACCTGGTCTTCTGGAAGACCCTGGACTAAACTTAGATGTGCATTCAGTTCCTGGCTCTGCCAAAGACTCTTTGTGTTAAGGATTGTGAACATGTACTTGTGTACACAGTTAACCAGTGAGCCTGGGCTTATCAGTTAATGTGCATGATTACATACAGCGCTTTCCTCTCTTAACCCTGACCCCATGCTGCTGCCTCTGTATCCGACACAGGAGCAAATGGGCAGGGGCAGGAGGGGGGGAGAAAGGCAGGAGTCAGCTTTCAAACTGGCTCCCCAGCTCTCACCGCTGACTGTTCCCTTCCCTCCACCTCGTGCTGCTGATGCCTCCCACAGAAGTAGCAGTGCAGGATGCGGGGGCAGGCAGAAGGTTATAATTTCAGTAGTTTTACATTTGCAGTTACAATACACACATTTTAACACATCTCTACTCTGTGTAATCACAAATCAATCTGTGTGCCTCAGTTCCCCCACTGTAAATGGGGATAAGAGTATTTTCTTCCATGATTTGTTAGTGTTGTCTCTGTAGGTGGTAAGCTTTTTGGGCAAGGGACTGTACAGGGCTTGGCACAATAGGGATCTGAACTTGGTTGGGACCTGTGGGTGATACCATACTGTATATAATTGACTGAGAAATAAGTGTATATAAATATTAATGCACATTAACATCTTCCTTTTGGTCTTTAGGCCTCATTGATTGTTACCTGGCATCCAACAGTATCCGTGAAGCAATGGTCATGGCTAACAACGTGTACAAAACCCTGGGAGCAAATGCACAGACTCTTACTCTGTTAGCAACAGTCTGTCTTGAAGATCCAGTCACACAAGAGAAAGCAAAAACTTTATTAGATAAGGCACTGACACAGAGACCAGATTATATTAAAGCTGTGGTAAAAAAAGCAGAGCTTCTTAGTAAGTGGGTTTTTTTGTTTTGTTTTTTGGGGTTTTTTTTAGATGTGTCTTCCTGTCCAGTTTATTTGAATAGTTTTCTGATATGCAAGTGAGTATTCCACAAAGTAATATGAAATTCACTACAGGAAATTTTTGCACTTTGTGAATACTGGGAGACATGGCCCCTGGTCCCTGCAGTGAGCTCCTTGTGGCTCCTGAACTTGCTGCTGCTGCTGGGAACTGCCATCCTCCTGCTCCCCTGTGCCGGGGCAGGAGAGCCATGGTTATGCAGAACTGCAAGTGGCCATTCTATGATTCGCAAGGGCCTCCTGTTTACAAATTTACAGCCAAAGACCATTTGGTTTTGTGTAAAAGAAAAATTACAGAATGCCATAAGAGATTAATTGCTTTGATATTATGGAGATGATACTTGTAGGGACACCACACTGGTAACTTCTAACCCACAATTGACACTAAAGTAATCCTTCAGATAAAAAAAATTATAATTTACTAATTATTTAAGAGATAATCATGTATGCAATAATTTGCTTTAAAATATACTAGATCAACAATTAAGTTTTCAGAAGATTTAATTATCACCAACTAGAGATAGTTTTAGCAATAAAGATGAGGATTATGAAGATGTTCTACATATTCCTCAAATTATTTTATAGAAGATCTATCTAAACTACTAGTAGAACTGTAGCTCTGTGTGTCAACAGGTAGAGAACAGAAATATGAAGATGGAATTGCTTTGTTGAGGAATGCACTGGCTAATCAGAGTGACTGTGTTCTGCATCGAATACTGGGTGACTTTCTTGTAGCTGTCAGTGAATATCAAGAAGCCATGGACCAGTACAGTATTGCTCTAAGGTAAACCTTGTAGATCCTTGAGTTTACTGTATGATTCTTAGAAACTAAGAATTTCATGGTTGCTGTAAGATGGCTTTATTGTAGCATATCTTCAGTCACTTCTGGGAGTTGGAGGAAGCTTGGTTGTATTTTTTTTGTCCCCTGCCCAATAGCACTCACATTGAGCTCAACATGTAGTCCACTGCACCATTAAACCAATAAGCTTTGAAGTTGTTCCCCCCAGCACCAGCTCCACGGTGCTGCCTCTCACCTCTTTTCCCCTGCACTGTTGCCTCTGATAGAGGCAGCAGCGTGAGTGTGGGGAAGGCTGCTGTGAAGCAGCCTCTTTCTGCAGTGAGCTCAGACCCCCATATACGGGCTACTGTATCAGAGGCAGCAGTGCAGGGCGACAGGCAGCCCGTGTGCGTGGAGAGCTGGTTTTTAAACTGGCTCCTTTTGCAGACCGGCTCCCGCCTGCCATCCCTTGCTGTTGCCTCTGATACAGGTAGGGGGTTCCCTTTTGAGTGAGGCTGAGAGAGTATAACTGATAAGATTTCATGCAGTTACACAACTATTCAGTTGCACTATAACATTCCTAGCCCATGCTATCTGTGACTTAAGGTTTATCTATAATTGAAGTGCTACGACTGTACTGCTGTAGCAGGAGTGTCTACACTGAAGCTTTACGTATGCTGTATGTCAGTCTACAGTGTGTACACATGGGATTAGCTCAGCTAAACTCCAGTCAGAGATGGGGATTTTTCATACCCCTTGTGGCCTAGTGGGGGTGCTGTCTGCTCTGTGACCCGGTGTCCCCCTGCGCTGTGATGGGAGATTCTCACTGACTCTCCCAAATGTGTATTAACCCAGACACCTAGGCTCAGCCTTCCAGGGAGGAGGACAAAGGAAGGAAGGCGGAGACCAGCACCTGGCTGGGGGGGCAGGGCTTGGAAGAGAGTTTTTTTAGTTTCTGTCTGGAATCATGGAGGAAGCAGCCTGAGCAAGAGGGCTGAGATTTAAGGGCCCAGCCTCCCCCATCTCAAGGATTACATCTATGCTGTGCTGTATCCTGGAAAAGCAATAAACTCCCTCTATTCTACTGGCTGGTGGAGCCGGTTCGTGC